CCTCCATAACACCCCATACCATGGCCAGCTCCTCCATAACACCCCATACCATGGCCAGCTCCTCCATAACACCCCATACCATGGCCAGCTCCTCCATAACACCCCATACCAGACCCAGCATCCCTCAGCTCCCCCATACCATGGCCAGCTCCCCCATAACACCCCACAACAGGCCCAGCTCCTCCATAACACCCTGTACCAGGCCCAGCTCCCCCATAACACCCCATACCACGGCCAGCTCCTCCATAACACCCCATACCATGGCCAGCTCCTCCATAACACCCCATACCAGGCGCAGCATCCCTCAGCTACCCCATACCATGGCCAGCTCCCCCATAACACCCCACAACAGGCCCAGCTCCCCCATAACACCCTGTACCAGGCCCATCTCCCCCCTAACACCCTCCACCATGCCCATCTCCCCCGTAACACCCCACAACAGGCCCAGCTCCCCTCAGCTCCAGCCACGCAAGGCTCCACCCTGCCAGCCCGCCTCTGTCAGGAACCAGCCAATCGGGAAAGCGCTAACTACCCCGCACCCACCAATCAGGCGGCAGCTTCCAGGCGCTGTGGCTGCAGAAGCTGGGTCTCTGGCGGGTCTCTCCAGAGAGCCTGGGGCATGGCAGCACCCTCTCCGCCGGCTCTCCTCTACCCTGCCCTGCCTGGGTTCTCCCTCTGTGCCCGTCCGCAGGGGCTCGTTGTTTTCGTTTTGTTTGCCTTTAAGGTGTCCTTTGCTCTCCCCCAGTGCGCTGCGCCGCCCTCCATGGAGGGCAGATGTTCCTCAGCCCGCAGGTGCGTTTGCACAAAGGGCAGCTCTGAGGGAAACCCCGCTGTCGAGGGCGGAAACCACCACTTTATTCTACAGAATTGAAAAAGAGCGTAATTCAACATGGAGCCATTCAGTTAGTATCATCAGCACCTCCTTTAATTGCAATTTAAACAAAGACCTCATGTCAGCTGCGCGCTCCTCCCTGTCCGCTTCGCTGTGGATGGCAACGGTGACAGCAGCAGGAGCAGGAGCTGCTCCTAAGCACCCGCTTCTTGCTCTGGACCTGCCTACGGTCTCTGGTAACGGTGTTAAAAACCCACGGGGACGCACCTAACGGGGAAAAATCTGTATCGTACAGCTCCCTTCTTCACACAAAAGGTGACAAAGTGACTATTCACCGGCCGGAGAGCTTTGTAGGGTGTAGCCCAACCCAGTCCCTGGCCTTACTCATTCCATGTATGTGGCAACAACAGATGAAAGTGTAATGGATAAAGATGAAAGCCAACGGTATAAACCTTACCAGAGCAGAGGGTGTAATTTCTAATCTTAAAATACCATGATGAGATCTGGATCGAGGGAGGGGATCCCTCCCCTCTGCTCAGCACTGGTGAGGCCACACTGGGAGTGCTGGGGCCAGTGCTGGGCTCCCCAGTACAAGAGGGACACGGACAGACTGGAGAGAGTCCAGCGAGGGGCCACCAAGGTGCTGAGGGACTGGAGCATCTCTGCTGTGAGGAGAGGCTGGGGGCCGGGAGCCGGGGCTGCTCGGCCTGGAGCAGAGGAGGCTCAGGGGGACGGCATCCATGGCTACAAATACCTGCAGGGAGGGAATGAAGAAGAGGGAGCCAGGATCTTCCCAGTGGTGCCCAGTGCCAGGACCAGAGGCAACGGCCACAAAATAAGAAATTCCATCTGAATTCAAGATACGCTTTTACTATGAGGGTGAGCGAGCGCTGGCACAGGTTGCCCAGAGAAGTTGTGGAGTCTCCCGGCTTGGAGCTATTCAGAAGCTGTCTGGACACGGTCCTGGGCAACCAGCTCTGGGTGACCCTGCTTGAGCAGGGGGGCTGGAGCAGAGGCACCCCAGAGGTCCTTCCAACCCCAACCAGTCTGGGTTTCTGTGATTCTGTGAATTCTGATGGCACTGGGATGGCCGCTCAAGCGAGGTAAGGATGAGATGAAGGTCGGTGGATTGGAGAAGATCAGAGGAAAGAACGAGTGTAGTACCTGCATCTTCCAGCGATGGGTGAGAAACCACCCCTCATTCTGGATCTGGATTATAAACTTCAGAGTCTCAATGTGGTGGCTTCTTGTATCAGCACACACCCACTGTAACGAAGGGGGGTTCTCCCCGTGATTGTTTCATTTTCCCAGCAAGATGAGCATGGGCATGTCTCCGCCAATTTAGACTCAGATATTGCTAACCTCTAACTCAGGATTTTTCCAAACGGTTGTAAAGAATGTAGCCATCTGCTTACCTACTACAGCGTGTGGTGATGGCACACCAGTGTACACCATACTATTTGGCTGTATTTTACAGTTTTAACTCTGATGTGTTTATGAACTAAATCCTGATCCTTATTTCTTAAAGGACCTGATACTTATTGTCAGTAGAGCAGCAGTGTGGTGTTCCAGGGTTAGAAGTTCTCACTTCGGAACCTGCTCTCTCCTCCCTCCAGTAATATTATAATTACTTAGCGCTTAAGACAGGAGGGCTGGATCCAGCCAGCTGTCTTCCCCAGTACACGCTAGCAAATAATCTGGGTCGCAGACATAATTAAACATATGAAAGCTTTCTTTAGTTCTTGTTTCCCTCAAGATCTTATGTTGTTCCTACTACTCTACTCGTAACACTGCTGTCTCCTTTCTGCTATCTGTATTTGCTCATTTTATCTACTTTTTATAAAACTTTTTCTGACCACAGTGGCAGCCATGTTTAGGAAGAGGTGGAAGATGTGGTATTTGGTCAGAATGGCAGAATTCCACTGGAACTAAAATTAAGCAAAGGATTGGGCATGGAATGTTCTTAATTTGATCCAAAGCCAGAGCAAACTTTGGGCAGGTAAGTTAGAACGATTGAATGGTTATGGTGTTCTTTGGCAACACCTTTTTTCTCCTGTGTGCCAAGAAGGCAAGTTATTCATTATCCTACAATTTGGTGCTCTGCTCTGGGCCACAAGAGTCGAGTTCAGAAGAGCTGTTGTGACGGAAGACGATGACCATCAGAAACAGCTTTTTGCCCTGCAGAGAGCTGCAGAGCTGGTAAGTACAAACAGGTACGCCATGCAAACATCAAGGCCTCCATGTGGTTCCCCATTTCTCTTTCAGGGTTTCTGATTTTCTTCCCCAAACCAATGAGATTAACAGCGAAACTGAGAACACTGTTTCAATTTTGGTACTCATTGGCTCTGACATATTTCATTACATTCAGCGACAGCGGTGGAACACGGATGCTCGGGAAGCAGACACCTCAGAGTAAGAAAGCTGGGGGGTGGAGGAGGGAGAAAGCAGAGAAGAGGGGAATGAATATTGCGGTGGGGAAAGGCTGGTGGGAGCAGGAGCATGGGGAATTCAGAGATGAAAAGTAGAAAATTATTAGGCATGTAAGGACAGAGGCTGGGAAGAGAGCAGAAAAGTCGATGGAGTGTAGGTTTGGAAATAGTGTAGGTTGGGAAATGGAGTGTGGGTCTGCCCAGAGGCCCCTTCCAGCCTGTGATTCTGTGAAACAGGGACCTACAGACCAGAGAAAACGAAGAGGAACTGCTGAGCACGAGAGGGGACAGAGGACTGTTTATAACAAACCCTGAGCCTGTTTGATCTCTCTCTTAAAAGAGAACAGCCTTTGCGGATGTTGGAGAGAAATGCTTGCCAGCCAGGCTTAAAGAGGGATGAGGAAGGGAAAGCAAAGAGTATAATGAATACAACGCTGAATTAGTGCGAAGCAATTTTCTGAGGATTCAAATGAAAGTGGAAGCTTGACTCTGAGCTTCAGAAGAAAATCTGCATAAAGTGACAACACAATCTCGCTTCTTTATTGCGGCTACCAGCAGCAAGCAACATCACAGTAACACGGACGCTTCTGTCCAGAGCCAGCCAAGTGGGAAAAGAGAGAAGATTCCCTAAAGCTGGCATCTCATTTTGACATCAACTCAGCTCTCTCTTGCTGGAAACAAAGCTCCAGTTTAGCCTTATCTTCCCCTGTAATATTCTCCTCAATAATACGCCCTAATTAGATCCTTCTCTCTCACTGCAGCTCCTTTTCCCAAGGCCACAGGCATCTGTCAGCCAAATGCCATCCCGAGTGTTGCTTCTCAGCTGGACAAAGTCAGGACAACAGGCTGGGCTGGAAAAGGTGAACGCTATCTGGAACACATCATGATTTCATCTGTCTGTGACAAGCTTCTGTAATCCCTGGACTAGCACCTCCTCTGCAACTTGATTCCTAAGTCCTTACAGATTTTTACTTTACTAAGGAGTAAATCTATCCCTGATAAAGCATTTCCTTTCTAAGGATCATGGAAAACTAGACAATGCAGTTGGGGAAACACCTGCAAATAAGACACTCCCAGGACTAATTCATCTTGCATTTTTCATTAGGAGAGACAATCGTTTGAAGTACAAGCACCTACCCATTCCATCCTGCGTGCGCACAATTAACGCTCTCCACACAACAGTCATTCCACAAGCATGGAAAATAATCCGTCCTCCTCTTTCGCTCCCAACCCCCCGCAGAGGGGCAAGGCAGAGTCAGCATGCTCTCCTTCCCCTTCTGCCCTCCCTGCATACACACACGCGGCACCCGCAGAACTCCCCGGGAGGGACAGTATGCCGCTAACTAGGGGGAGAAGTCAGTGGTTTAATTCTTTTCCCAAAAACACCTTCCGTTTACTAAAACAGACTGCAGAAAGCTAAGCACACTCATCAAAAAGTTGGGAGAAAAGAAATAACATCTTATATCTGTTCTTTAAAATCATACTAAAAAAATTTCCAGATGCTTATTTAGGGACAAAGCAAAGAACTAAATAGCACAATATTTTGAATCGCCTTTAAGAGAGAGGGATGTTTTAGCAAAACCCTGTTTACTACAAGACAGCCAGGAAGTCCCGAATTGCTTCCCTGCAGAGTGCAGTTTCACGGAGAAAGATGATTCACCAGAGAAATAAAATTACTGCAACGATCCCTACGCTGGGTGCCAGCCTAGGCTGCTTACCTGTTTGAGCGCCTTCTTGCTGTGCTTCTGGGATGAGGAGATGACTTTGCCTGCCTGGATGGAAGGTGACGGGCAGCCTGACTGAGGGGAGGAGGTCTGTGACAGTCTAGATGACACTACAAGAAAAAAAAACCACAACATATACATAACCCGACCTTTATACATTTGCCTGCAGCACGTTAGCCAGTCCTCATGGTTTCAGATCGTCTCATGAGGCCCATGAAAATTGCACCTCTAGCAAACGTTCCTTTTTGCATGCAGAATCATTTCTATTTCCTCCCCGCCACCAAGGCAGCTGTTTTCCTCTGAAAGCCAACAGCAATTCCTGTGGCCAGCTTCACATTTTTCATCTCTTGTCCATCTCTTCTTTATTAATCTTGTAAATAGCTGCTATCAAACAACACTGCAGCTTGAGAAAAAGCTTCAGGTTCACGCAGGTTTGGCCAATTCAAATCTAACTGGAAATACAGAGACAGGCAAGGGTTGTCTTCATCTGGAACGTCCTGTGGTCAGGCACCTAACTGACAGCAGTTTCTGATCAGATTAAATCTGAATCCCACGCGAGAGCGGGAAGGTAAGTGACATGCAAAGGCGTGGAACATCACTTGCTGCTTTCTAAAAAGAAATATGGGAATATACAGGATACGCCAGTGAATGCACACATCTTCTCAGTGGATGAGCCTAGACGCTTAAAGAAACTAGTCCTAGCCACGTGGAGTCCTAAAGCAAGGCTTCTAGTTTCAGGTGATTTAGACTTTTAAATGGTCTCATTCCAACCAACAAACCGGGGATGGGTGCTAAACAGCGGGTCATGCAGCCTGACCGTACCTGCTCGGCACAGGCACCCAAACCACTCTGCTCTGGCAGCAGGGGGGTGACGGCTGCGCGGCCAGCCAGGGAGAGCCCTCGGTTCCAGTCTCTCATCCTCACGGGTTTGCCTCTATTATCTTGGCAAACGCGTACTGTACTGGCCAGCAGCCAGGGTTAACCCACCACCTGTACCTATATGAAAAGCCGGGTGATCGGCACACTAGGGCTAGCGAAAGCTCGTTAGTTGCTGGGACTGAAACAGTAGAACAAAAAAGACAAAAGCATAACGACATTCATTGGAACGCCTTATTGCATGATGGCCGTAACAAAGCAAACGCTACGTAGGCACAGCCAAGAACATCAATGAGATACGGCTGCACCTGCAATGAACTCTGAAGTTCCTCTGTGAGACTGGGAGGCAGCCAGTTAAAAAGAAAACAACAGAAGTTAGCAAATTCATGGCCTGTATAGATATCCGCACATGAATTTGTACAGGTAACGATGCCCACCGTAAGATCAACGAAACAAAACAAAGAGTAAAAAAATGTTTGATCCCGGGGTGGGGAGAACCCCCGCCATGAAGGATAATAAAGATTCACATGTGAACTATTTAAATTATTGCTTCCTGAAGCCATTAGTTCTGGAACACGAGATACACTGGTATCCTTCCGCAACAGAAAGGAGTTAAGAGATAATGACAACGGCTCTTCATTAACAATAGCCAGCCCGATCCCGCTCAGCATCTGCAGAGAAGGGAAGCTCCCGAAAAGAACGCAGTGACAGTAAGCGTCAGAAAGCAACATTTCAATAAAAGGCATAGAATTAGCAACAACACATCATAAAGAGTACAACTTCCACATGCGGCGTGGACAGTAAATGAAAAGAGCACGTTTTTCAGAAGGCATGCCCAATAGAGATGAGGTGATATCAGACTCTGACCTGTCCTTAAAAACAACAACAAGAAAAAGGTATGGTAAGAAACAGGTAATTTCAAGGTCACCGACAAGACCACCATACCCAGGCAATACACGCGCACGGTAAGAGACGACAGAGGCGCACGGCAAGCAGAACCACCACTTAAAAGCCG